TTGCTACTTAAAAAGCAGGAGGTGGGATAAAGGGGGTAATGAATAAGAAGAGGAAGAAGGGGAGGATGCAGTAATTAATGTATATCCTACACAATTAAAATTGAGGGGAGGGGTATGGGGCTGGGAGGGATGTGGGAGGATGATGACATTGGTCAAGATGCACAGTGTTCATAAACTGATTTGTTGAATGGCAACTCCTTTGTACAACTGCTTAGAGATAATAAATGGTGTTTGATGAAGGTTGCTAAGGAAAATGATGAGCATCATTAAGTGATCACTTATTCACCTCCTCACCCCCCAAGTAGTAATATTTATCAGTTCAGTAGATCTACGGAGTTTCAGCCTTCCAAATGTTGTTTAGGCCAACGTGATCTTGTGCTATTTGCTGCTAATGACACCTACTGGGCAAAGGTGGGATAGCCAGGTTTTTAGGTCTATTAAACAGATTTGCAGGATGGAGGTTCCTCAAAAAATTGATTTAAAACATTCATGTTCCATTTGTTATCACTCAGGGGAATAAGTAATTAAAATCAAACCAATAAAAAGTTGGTTACAACCTTAAACAAATACTTCACTGATTCAACGAACGGAATCAAAATTCAGATTACAAGAGGAGGGAGGGGCTCCCCTGTGGAGCGTGAAGCAGAGTCATGAGTAAGACCTTTCTCATCTCTTCCTCAGAGCCCAGGTTCTAGGCGCTGCTGGGATGACAGAGCTTGTTTCTCAGATTCTTTGCTTCACGGTAGCTCCTGACTGTACATCATTTTGACTAATCATCGCACTGTCTCCAATCTGGGGGACATAATAAGAATCAATGATGCTTTAATTATGGTCTCTCTTGGCTCTGTAACAGACTCATTGAGGAGTGGAAACTAGAATTCCATACCTATTCTTTTTTTGCTATATATAAATGTAAATTTGGTCTCCCCTCTGGAGAGACCTATCCTAATTTTTTATTTTTTAAAATTATCTTTAAGTAGTCATACAAAGGAGTCACCATATAACAAAGCAGTTTATGATACAATATATCTTCACCAATGTCGCCCCTTTCAATTCTCACCTAGGCCTCCCTTAAGCCCACCCCTGCCTTAATTTTATCAAGAACTTGTTCATTCTTAATGCTTCTTTGCCTGTACCTGATATGACATGAATAAGGCTGGCTGACGAAGCCTTATTTACATAGCTCATTACTTTACCTCTGTTTCCTGGAAAAGCCAAATAACACACAAATCCTCCAAGCCCTGCAACAGCAGTCACTCCCACATACGGCGGTACCCTGGACTGCCTCATTATGAAGCCTCACAAGGAGTTCTAGCTACGTGCAACAAGTTCAAGGCAGCATATGCGTGGCGGGGGAGCCTAGGCATGCTGGTAACTGGGCAGTAGAACCAACGTTTCTTTCCTGAGAAGCAGAGAACCCTAAGAATGAAAGAAATGGATGGAAAAAAAAAAACTGTGCAATCTACAATCGTACTTTGCTTCGATGAGCCAGTATTTATAGCCAATAATTATGTAAATGGTGGTGCAATGTACAATGTACAATCCTAGTGCACCTGTCAGGGCCCATAATTCTAGATAGTGATTACTCAAATGTTGTTTGTTGCTTCTTTTAACTTTCTTTTGTGATACTGAACTCACCATTTGCTAGACAAATGCTCTACCACTTGAGCCATAACCCCCAGTCACTTTAAAAAAAAAAAACTTTAAATACTGCTCTATTGTCAAAGTGTGGAAATTTGTCAATGGTTATCAGAAAGGAATAAAATGTTACTACTGTAAGAACTGAAAAAAAAAACAAACAGGAGAAGGTATAGTGAGCTGTAAGAGGAAAGGGAAGGAGGGAGAGCAATTGGGAAGGTATCAACCCATGTTAGAAGATGGGAAGGGGAGAGGTAATGCCTAAGTGGTACAGAAATATACTTCAATGGTTTAACAACAGTGATCCATAGAGGAATCCCAAAGGGCACTATGCCTGTTTTTTGAGTTGTGATCTAGGTTTAACCAATCTTTAAATATGGTAGCTGTAAGTCAACGGATGGCATTAAGATGGAAAGATCTAGATTAAAGGGTGGGGTGTATTTTCTAGAGATGGGGTATCTTCTAGAGATGGGGTATCTTCCAAGTGAAATTGGAGGATAAAACTGCCAGGCACAGGGGCAATGGTTGCCTCAAGAAAAGAATGAGGCTTAGCAGGAACGGACAGGAGAGAGGAGTTGTTTCCCCTTAGGCCTTCCTGGCTCCTTTGGTGATTTGGATGAAACACGTTAAAGAGTAGACAATGCTTCATCAGAGTGCACACGGATCAATTTAACAAGATTATCTTCTAACTCGTTGAGAAGCAGGCAAGCAGAGTGAGTTGACATTTGGTGAAGCATCTTGTAGCACAGTTAGGTGGTTGGTCTTACCTTGGCTGGCCAGGAAAGCAAGAGGAGAAGAGATTTCACATACAACAGGTGTTTGCTAAGGAGAAAAGGTGTGAAGCAGGTGAGTTCTGCACAGTGAGTTCTGGCCAGGACAGGGGCCATCTAGCATCAGCCACAATTCCAACATTCCTATCTGCAGGGCAGGCTGGACAGATAATGCCTGCCACAGGCCTCCATGAACAGCCAGTGCCCCCTCCCGTGCCTTGTGGACTCAGAACACAGGAGAAGGAATGGGGGAACCAGGTCAGCTGATCAGAGCTTCACTGAGTTGCTTCCACACCCACTCCAGTGCCTCTTCCACGGACCTAGACCTGGCTCAAAGTCAAAAGTACATCAAGTGCTTCTTCAGCTACAACTTCCTCAAACCACATCTCCATAGCTTAGGGTAAGACAAGCACTAAATATCTACAAAAGGCAGAGCTATGATCTACTTTTTATTTTTCTTTCTATAAATACTGATTCTCTCGACTCCTTTCTGTTCTTCCTCTGTGAATTCTGTTTTAGTTGGTCTTCTAGACTTGTTCTATGTATAAACCTAAACACTTGAAACATTACTTCAAAGGGCATCCTCTTGAGCCCTAAAAATCCTCCATACCAGCTGGATACAGTGGCTCATGCCTGTATTCCCAGCTACTTGGGAGGCAGACAAGGATCATGGTTGAAGCCAGACAAAAAGTTAGTGAGACCCTATTTCAAAGAATAAGCCACATGATAGTTTGCAATTTTAATGGTCGAGGTTGGTATACCTAAAACTACTGGGGGTGTGGCTCAAGTGGTAGAAGGCCTGCCTGGTATGTGAAAAATCCTGAGTCAAAACCCCAGTACTGCCCAAAACAAACAACAAAACAAATGCCAGCACACCTCACAAAGCAAACCCACACTGGCATGTTTTCATCTTCTTCCATCTAATTTCAGTGAGAATCAGGCCTCTAGCATATCATGACAATCTGTGAGGCTACGAGCTGACACAATTCTAGAGAACAATGGTTAATGGTAAGTCAGCATAGTTCTAATTTACACTTCTCTTTTGAGTAAATTTCAGCACCCTGTAGATGCCTGAGCCATTTTCTGTCTTTGAACTTTGCCCCTGAGTCTATTTTCTGTGATTATAATAAAAATATCTAAGACTGGAGTTTATTAGATGTTTATTTGGTTTGCACTGGTAGCCTCTGGAACAATAATTTTGCCTCTACCTTTCCAATTCTGGACTTCTGATTTTTTTTTTCTGGTCTAATTGTATCCAGTACAAGTTGAATAATAATAATAATAAAATAGTGGCAAGCCAGGCCCCAGTGGCTCACTCCTGTAATCCTAGCTACTCAAGAGGCTGAGATCTGAGAGGTGGCAGTTAAAAGCCAGCCTGGACAGGAAAGGCTGTGGGACTCTTATTTCCAATTAAACATCAGCAATCTGAAAGTGGCGTTGTGGCTCAAAGTGGTAGAGTACTAGCCTTGAGTGAAAAAACTCAGGGACAAAGCCCAGGCCCTGAGTTTAAGCACCACAATCCCCCCTCACCAAAAAGAAGGCCACCCTTTCTTTGCTTTATTCGACTTCTTTACTGGTCCCTCTTTCCTTGTGGAGTCCATAGCAACACAGTGAGTGGATGTTGAAACCTGGCGTGGTACTCATACATCATGATTTTTCTTTTTTTGGGGGGGGGGGTCTGGTTGTGGGGCCTGAACGCTGGGCACTGCTTATGTGGTGCTGAGGATCAAACCCAGGGCCTCATGCATGCAAGGCAAGCGCTCTACCACTGAGCCACCTTCCCAGCCCACATCATGATTTTTCTTGGCACACACTTATGACGGCAGGCTTTTTCTTGATACTGAATTTCACTCATCACTCCTCTCATTATGAACTGGAACAGAGCTCACTGAACATCAGCCCTGAGATAGTGCATAGTCCATCTGAAAACAGAGACCTCCGTGAATGGAAAACCAAATTATTCACATCCTGGGAAGGATACACAGACCATGACCTTTCGTGTGTGCTACGTAGGATGGAGTGCACTTCAAATTACAGATTATTTCTGTAAATTTCTGCCTGATAATTTTGGACTATGCTTGACCTAGGAAGCTGTAACTATGGTAATCAAAACTGCTGATAAGGTGAGATATTGGATTTGGGACAGATTTTCATTTTCAATCTGGGGAGTGAACCTTGGGATTGAAGTGTCTTGGAAATACAAATCTTGGATCCATATTACTTATGTCCCATGGTAGATAGTTCAATGTAACCCCCAACCTCCAGGTTTGCTGAGGTAATGTTCGGCAGAAGTCCATCTAAACCTTGAACTCTTTTTTTTTTTTTGGTCAGTCATAGGGCTTGAACTCAGGGCCTGGGCACTGTCCCTCAGCTTCTTTTGCTCAAGACTAGTACCTGAGCCACAGTGCCACTTCCAGCTTCTTCTGTGTATGTATGTGGTCCTGAGGAATCAAACCCAGGGCTTCGTGCACTAGGCAAGCACTCTACCACTGAGCCACATTCCTAGCCCAAGCCATGAACTCTTTAAGAGCTTGCCTAACATGCATGTGGCCTTGGATTTAATCTCCAACACCAAAAAAAAAAAAGACAACAACCCAAAAACCGGATTTAATCCTGTGTTTTTTCATAAACACTGTTAAACATTCTGGAAATACCTTCTACAGTGTTGTTTGTTTGTTTTTTAAGATATCAGACAGACACAGCGTTCCAATGCCCCTTTGGGGCCACGGAGGGGAGAAGCCCACGGCCTCTCTCAGTCCACCAGGGTGTGAATGACAGATACACAGGAGCACCTGGAGCCATTCCTGAAGTAGAGTTTCAACACCACAGTAAAGGGTGAAAAGCTTTCCCCCCAAAACGCGATCAGATGATCAAATCATAGCTTGGCATCTAACAGTGCAATTAGGATGAAAGGGACCCCAGGAAATGGGGCCAAAGCTTGCCATCCTCTCAGGGAACTGTGAGCTGCAGTGGGAACACACCCACCAGAAGAGTAAGAGGGGTGGCACTCGTGATAAAGCCTATATAGATCCTAGAACATCCTCTGTTCACTAGTAGAGAACAGAACTGCAGCATGGCTGGCGTTGGCTGGTGGGTGGTTGTCTTTGCTATTTGCTTGTTCTTTTAAGTGATCAGAACTAGAATTTTCCAGCCAACCGTTGTTTGTGGGGGTCCCCACGTGGGTCGTTTAAATGAGATGGGCCCTAGTGACTCCTCTGGTGGGTACACAGCCATCAGGTTGAGGGCAGATGTTTGGTTGTGGCTTTGCGAAGGTCATTGGAAACGACTTGCAGAGTGAGCAGGTCACGCTGTCCGTCTCAGGTCTTGCCCTCCCATCCCATGACTCCGCAAAGCACTGTGCTTGACGGGGCTGGGTCAGAGCTTCGTGGACAAGGTGTGACTGGACTCCTTTGAGTGCGGCTCAGCGGGGCTCTGAGCTGTGGCCAGGCTTTGGGCTTCCTTTTGCCGTCTGGCGGTGTAGAGAACGTACATGCTCCTCATCAGGAAAATGCCAGCGATGACGGCAAAATAACTCCCGTAAACTAAAAACTGGACACAAACAAATCATTACCCTCATCACCTCAGTCTCTGGCAATGTATAATCAATCAGGTTGGAGGGCTTGGATTACAGGTTAACTAAGACTCAGGATTTTAATGACCCAGAGGGCATTTAGATTGCACAAGTCTCTTCTGAGATAGAAGAACAGGTGAACAATTCAAGGATAGAGAGCCATGGCTTTGTAGCACACTGCCTAGATTCAAGGCCTAGCAGCCTTGAATCAAAATTCAACCCTACTAAAGCCCACTAATGTCTGGGTGTTTGTGTTTGGAGGCTGGTACGATGCTACAATGCATTTTTGTTGTTGTTGTTGTTGGTCGTGGGGCCTGAACTCTGGGCCTGGGTGCTTTGCCTCAGCTCTTCAGCTCAAGGCTAGCGCTCTACCACTTGAGCCACAGCACCACTTCTGGTTTTCTGGTGGTTTATTGGAGATAAGAGTCTTACAGATTTTCCTGCCCGGGCTGGCTTTGAACCACGATGCTCAGATCTCAGCCTCCTGAGTAGTTAGGATTATAGGCGTGAGCTAACGGTACCCGGCATACAATGCATTTTAGACACTAAGATGATTTGCAGATCAATGTTGACCCAGCTGTCACAACTGCTCAAAACCTGCTTCAGGTTCATATTATTAAGGAATTGCATATTTTAAACGTTGCTTTAGTGGAGTAACTCAGGCAATGTAAAAATAGTGTTTGTTATTTTAGGAGAAATCCTGGATTCCACCTCCCCCACACGACAGTCACTCTGGGGGCTTACCTGAGTGCCAACAGGCAGGTTGAGCCCTCTCTGGTCGACTACAATCACAGTCATGATGGTTTGAATCACCAAGGCGAGAAAGGTGTTTATTCCAAACACCAGGGCATAGCGTTCCACACTGAGGTTGATGGCAATCTGAAATCTATTGTGAAATGTTGAGTAAACATTTTATTAACCATAATGTACAGGAGATGCTTGTCTTTAAAGGGCAGACATGGCTGTGCGTTGGTGGCTCACGCCTGCAACCCCAGCTACTCAGGAGGCTGAGACCTAGGATCACTCTTCAAAGCCAACCTGAGTTCAAGCTCTGAGTTCAAGCCCCAGGAACAGTGCACACTGCTTGTCTAATTTTCCTTCAGCAGAGACAATGAGACAAAGTAAAGCAAAAAAAAAACTTTAAAGACTGAGTTAGCCAGGTCCTGGTGGCTCACACCTATAATCTTAATGATTCAGGCTAAATAGCTACTTTGATTAGATCTGAGGATAGAGGTTTGTAGCCAGCGTGGGAAGAAAAGTCTGGGAGACTGTTAACTCCAATCACCCACCAAAAAGCTGGAAGTAGAGGTGTGGCTCAAGTGGTAGAGTGCCAGCCTTGAGCTGACTGAGAGTATGAAGCCTTGAGTTCAAGCCCCAGGTAACACACACACACACACACACACACACACACACACGCACACACGCACACACGCGTGCACACGCACATGCACACACGCACACACACACGCACACATGCACACTGAAGCCAGGCATGTAATCTCAGAACTTGGGTAAGAGAAGCAGGATAATTTCAAGTTCATAGCCTGAATTATATAGCAAAACCTTCTCTCAAAAAAAAAAAAACTCAAAACAAAACAAACAAACTTCATAGCCTGAATTATACAGGAAAACCTTTTCTCAAAAAAAAGTAACACAAACAAACCTCCAACAACCAACTGACCAGCCAAATGCCAAACAAAACTTAACAAAGCTTATCTCTTCTTCTTTCATGCAACTTGCAATTTAAATTTTTAGTTTTTAATCTGTTTAGTTAATAAAGTCCAATTCATCTTCGGCTACATTTACTTCAACCAATGCTTTTTAGTAACACTTTTCTTCCCCCCCATATTCTTTTATTTGCATCAACCAGTTGTATGTGGGCTTTCATCCTGACATGCCCATGTATATCCCATATCCCCTGATCAGACCTCCATCATTCTCCCTCATGTCCCCTCTTCTCTGAATAATTTCTAAAAGTGATCCCTGAAAAAGATGTATATGTGGCAGAAAATCCTGAGTCCTGGAGATCTTCCTTAAAAAAATAATTAAAACTCATTCAATTCTATGCCCAAGAACAACACAGCTTATCTTTATCTTTTTTAGTATTGTCCAGCTTTTTGTAATTTTCTTGAAAATATAGTTGTTCGCAGAAGAGTATGTGCTTAGTTATTAACACAACTACATGAAATTAAGGCTGGAGTCTAAACCTAATATTCAAAATTAAATCACATCACACCCTGTTGTGGAAAACTGTGGCCAGTAATGATTCAAAACCTAACAATAATGATTGCTTTTGGTTTATATATCCCCGACTTAAATGAAAAGACTGCTTCATGGCATTTAATTCAAAATAAATAGTTCCCATTTAATATTGCTTGGGCTGGGTCTGATAGTATACACCTCTAATTCCAGCACTTGTCAAACTGAGGCAGTAGATCCTCTAGTTCAAGACCAGCCTGAGCTACATAGAGAAACCTTGTCTCAGAAACACCATATAAAAGTCTTCCTGTTGCTCTGAGAGGGAAAAAATGATGGCTAATACTTACACAGCAATGGTTATAAGAAGCATGTAGCTGGACTTGAATACCAAATAGCCGACATAGCACAGCCAGATGCTGAGTGTGTAATGCATGAGAAACAGAGCGCCTGCGTTGACAACTGAGAAGGTGGCCAGAGCCAGCTCTCCCAGGAGATCCCAGTTGACGTCCAGGTACCCCACTGCGAAGGCAGCCACGGAACCTGAGAACCAAACACAAAGGAGCACCAGACATCAGGTCTCAGCCTGGGCATGGTAGTCCTCTCCTGTAATCCTAGCTACTGGGGGAGGCTGAGATCTGGAAGACCATAGTTCAAGGCCAGTTCCAGGCAAGAGTGAGATCTTATCTGCAAACATAACTAAAGCAAAAGAGGATGAGCGTGTGGTTCAAGTGGTAGAGAGCGTACCTAGCAACCATAGAATCCTGAGTTCAAGTCCCAGGATTCCCTTGCTACACCAAACCAAAATCAAAATCTGTTCAGGCAATTCTAAGGGAAAAATATATTGCTTTCACAAAAAACAGTGTGTTCTACTTAAGGGACAATCTATCCTTTTTCCTTCCAGATTTTCTTCTTTTTTAGTTCCCTATCTTTTTCAGTTACTTACTTGTCACACTTTTTGGCCAGCCAGGACCCTAAACGCAGCAGTGTGGGAACAACAATACGATGACACCTCCACGTATGCACGAACAGGATGAGAAGAATGAATTAAATGCCCAACACCGCTCTCTCTCATTACCCCTTTAGCAGAGTTTACGGGAAGCTCTTCAGTGGTTGCATGGAGTAGCCAGGCTTAGTCTTTACTTTTAACTTCCACTTTAGAATCGTCAAGATCTGACCTACTTTCCCCCTCCCACACTCCACTCCTCCCTTCCTTCCTCCCTCCCTTCTTTCTCTTCTCTTCTTTTCCTTTTCTTTCTTTTTAAAGACAGGGTCTTGTTATATTCTCAGATTGGCCTTGAACTCCAGGATAAAGTTACCAACCTCCCCACAAGTTGGAACTACAGGTGTGTATCACCGCATCCAGAGAAGCTAATTTTCTTGAGGCGTGAGGCAAAAAGATCTATATTGATTTATAGAGTTTAAGAGGCTGAATGATACTAGTTAATGTTAGTAATTGTGATCTTTTTCTTAAAATGAAAGTTGTTCAGTTACTTACTTGTATTGACAATGGGTCTATTAACTTTTCTCCATGTTTTCAGGAAAGGGCTGGGTTTACAAAGGACCCTTTCTGTGCCCCCCAAATTTGAATGTCGGAGCATCACTGCAACGAAGCAATTCTGGCACAGTCTTTGTTTTCAGAAGTTAACCTGAGGCCAACGCCCCCGCCCCCCACCCCCAAAGGGAGACAAGAATACAACAGAAGCCAAGTCTCCTGAAACTTTGTATGTGGGTGTGGAACGATCTAACTTCCTAAAATTAAAAAAAAAATCTTCAAAGTTTCACGTGATGTGTAAGTTTCCATTTACTAGAATGTAAATATTTAGTGTAGAATGGGCTTCAAAGGCACATTTCTCTTCTATTACACCTCTGCTCTCCCCCCCCCCCCAGCTCTTCATAAGAAAGCCACTATTGTGCAGCCTAGGGTTGATGAGGTCAGTCAGAGCTTGATCATTATTAAGACACACCAGATAGCTACGCACCTGAGGCTCATGTCTATAATCCTAGCAACTCAGGAGGCTGACATACAGAAGATTGTGGTTCAAAGCCAGCCAGGGCAAAAAAAAAAAAAAAAAAAGTCCACAAGACTCCATTTCCAAAATAACCAGCAAAAAGCCAAGGAGCTTAATTGGTGGAGTACAAGCTGAGCAAGTGTGAGAATTAATTAAAAGGCTACCGCAAAAGACTCTGTAAGGTGAGATTTTGGATGTCTTCAGATATTTCCTAAAACAATAAAACCTCTTTACGCACTCTGAAAGAACAGGGCACATGGTCAATAACTGTCTTAATGAGGAAAGAGAATCTGAGAGATTCCACTAGAACTTAGTTGTTTGGTTCTAAGCTCTGAGCTCCTGAATAACTCATAAATATAGAAATATAATACATTAAATAAAAGATCTTGTGCTCTGAGGCATTCTATTTTTCTAGTACCCTCCATCTTTTTTCTTTTTGCTGTTTTTGATGGCACTAGTGTTTGAACTAAGGATTTCAAACTTGCTGGGCTGGCACTCAACACTTGAGCCACACCTCTGACCTAGTTTGTTTTTGCCAACTATTTGGAGATGGAGTATAGTGAACTTTTCTATCTTCATTGGACTCAAATTGTGATCCTCCAGTTGTCAGCCTCCTGACGATCTAGGATTATGTGTATGAGTCCCACCTGGGCCCTCTATCTTGAGAAATAAATGCTTGTATCTTCTGAATCAAGGTGAATTACCACAAGGAGAAGCTTAGCTCCAGCGCAGGAAGTTTAAAGCAGTGTTCACTTACCTCCAAACGTGGCGATAGCTTCCACCGCCCCGTTGTAGATGGAAGAGTTGTGAGATGGGGCCTTGTCATCCCACAGGAGTTGAACATAGTTCAAAATCTGGTTAAAACCCGCTGTGGACAGAGCCCACCACAGGGACCAGTAGAAAAGGCGCTTGGAGGAGTAGCATTCCTTCAGATCCTGGAACCACTGCGTCAGGCTTCTCAAGACCACCTTTCCGGGCTCCGGGTTGCTCCGCTGGCTGCTCTCCTGATAACCGGCCGTGGGGAGCGGCTCCTGGTGCGGTGCCTTGCGGTCCCCGTGACCCCCCTCGAGGACGGCGTCCTGTCCTGATGGCTTTTCCAGAGCTTCTTTGTTGGGTGTTGCGTGGAAAAACATGCTCTTCTTGGGCATCGGTAGAAAAAGGGAGACTAAGAGGGCCATGGAGACAGAGGCCAGGGAGATGACATTGAGGTAAAAGTACGACACGTTTGCCAGGGACACCAAGAGCTGGGCCAGCACCGAGGCTGCGGTGTAGGCCACCAGCGTGACACTCCGACAGTAGCCGCTCACCTTCTGGTAGTGCTCCGGGCTGACCACGCTGTAGATGTAGGAGTAGTAGGCTACCTCGGTGGCAGAGACTATCCCAAAGACAAACTCCGTAACCTTCATGACCTTCACTCCTTGGCCAAACAAAAGCAACAGCCAGGTGGCCACGAAGCTCACCCCTTGAATGATGATGACCGGCTTGTAGCGGGCGTAATCCGTGAGGATGAACACAGGGAGGAGCAGTGCCAGGTAGGAGTAGGTCCAAACAGGGAGGACCTCGTTCGTGATCTGTAAAGTTGACACACAGTGTGACTGGGAAATATCTCTGAGGGACAGGTGGATCGTGTCTCAAACTTACCTCTGGGCAGATAGTCTGCAGAGTATGGGAAAACAGGATAGGAATTTGATTTCCAAGGAGGACACACGAGTCCCCTTCCCCATTGGAAGCAAACAAATTAAGACAAAAATTAAAAGGAGAAGCCAGGTGCTGGTGGCTCGTGCCTGTAATCTATTCAGGAGGCTGAGATGTGAGGGCTGTGGTTTGAAGCCAGACTTGGGCAGGCCAATCCATGAGACTCTTATCTCCAGTGAACCACCTGGAAGTGGAGGTGTGGAATAAGTGGAAGAGTGCTAGCCTTGAACAAAAAGACCAGGGACAGTGCCCATGCCCTGAGTTTAAGCCCCAGCACCAACATTCCCCTCCGCCCCCCCAAAAAAACTAAAGAAAACAAAAAAATCTACAACCGATTCACATAGAAGAGTGCATGATTTGAACTATATGTTACCTTTAAATAGTATGTACAATGGTAGTAAATGATTACAAAACTTTTCAGGTATTTCTGAGATTTCCAGGTTCTTAGAAACATCATTCCTTTCTTGTTCACAGAGTAATAATATTAGAAGAAATGTTTACAGTGCAAGAAGCCTAGAACTATCTAGATCCATTACTGTGTCCAAGTTCTGCTCCTCCAGAGTTGGAGTGAACTCACACAACAGTGGCAATGAGGGGTAGCCAAGTAATGCCATCCACTTTTCTTCCTGCACAAATTTACCAGACTCCACAAATTTTCCCTGCCCCACGATTTCTATTGATATGTTAGTGCTTCATATAACTTGGCCTCAGTACAGCTTATGGTTTGATAGTCAGCCATTTTCTTAGTGAGAAAGGACGGAAAGACGTTGTTGGCCTTTGGTGCAACAAGACTGCCACTTCTCAAACCACTGAAGTTCTCTTCAGTGTTGCTATTTGGATCCTGCGAGGTAGAAGAATGCAGGAGGCACAGAACTGAGCTGCAGCTTTGAGTGAGGCTCTATTCCCATGTCTGAGGTCCTCACAGAAGTGGACCCCAGGGGCTGTGTTGAGCTGATCTTGGAGTCATGTCTGTCTACCCTACATTGCCTTAATTATGGCACCCTTCAGCCTGAGACACTCGAAGCAGCCATCCATGTGTGGTTTTGAAGGAGCTTGCCTTTCTGTGTTTGGTTTTTATGCATCCTAACTTACCTCGGTGCTGGTCAGGTTTTTACTTGGTCCAGCCAGATACGGGATCAAGAATGGCTCTGAAGGCCTCATCATGGAGAAGAAGCCAAATAGGCAGAGGATCACCGTTGGATAAATCCAGGAATTGCTTCGTGAAGTTTGGAAACAATCCATGGCTGATCAAATGGAAACAAAGCAAAAAAAAAAATGCTGTGATGTTTCCAATGATTTCTACCTGTTTTATGAAAGGATAATGTTTTAATTAACCACTCACAGATATTTCTGAGTGAGTCAGACACCTTCCTTGGTCAATGGACTTACTTTATTATGGAGGAAGTCACATCTTTGCAATATTTTCCATTACAAGCATGATTATAAGTAGTTACTAGTAAATGATAAGCAATGGGCATAAGTCAAATATTAGTCAATGGATTACCAGTGTACACATGAATGGTAAAGTACTTCTTGAACACAGATTGGAGTCATCAAAACTTCTATTACCTGCCCATTCCACTTGGCACTGACTCTTTAACTCTTTAGCACATGAAATGACAGTTGTTTGTTTTTCACATTCATATTTTATCCCTGAAGCTTTGTAATAACTACAGATCCAGGTGAATATACAGGAGGTCCAAGAGTTGGGTTCAAACCACATGGTCACAATTTCAATCAAGTTCTCCCTAACTCCCATTGGATCCTTTCTTTCACTCTACTTCTCCCTTTACTGCTACTGTTAACCTATTGATGACTCTCTTCACAAGGAAAAAAGAAAATACTTTTTTATTTTTTGGTTGGTCTTGGGGCTTGAACTCAGAGCCTGGGTGCTGTCCTTGAGCTTTTTTGCTCAAGACTAGCACTCTACCACTTTGAGCCACAGCTCTACTTCCAGGTTTTTGAGTGGCTCGCTGGAGGTAAGAGTCTCGTGAACTTTCTTGTCCAGGTGAGCTTTGAACTGTAATCCTCAGATCTCAGCCTCCTGAGTAGCTGAGATTACAGGTATGAGCCACTAGTGCCTGGCTAAGAGAATGCTTTTATGAATATATACATACAAGATATGATGGCTTAATATATAGGATTCCCAAAGGCAGCCTGAGAGATGAACAGGACACTTGTACCAGGAGAGCAAATTACCTGGGTGGAATTCCAGAGATTCTTTGGCTTGGGCCTCCCTATACTTTTTTTTTTCTTTTTTTGGGTCTGGTAGTTGGTCCTGAACTCTGGGCCTGGGCGCTGTCCCTCAGCTATTCAGCTCAAGGCTAGCGCTCTACCACTTGAGCCACAGCGCCATTTCAGGCTTTTTTCTTTTTGCTTATGTGGTGCTGAGGAATCGAACCCAGGGCCTCATGCATGCAAGGCAAGCGCTCTACCACTGAGCCACCTTCCCAGCCCTCCTCATAACTTTTGTTTGCATTAACAACATGTAAATCTATCTATCTATATATAGCATAGATATAGGATCATAATATACATTAACTTACTGTGGGACATGGTCAATTCATTAGTAAGGGAAGAAGAGTAAACATGCACACATGTTCCTAGAAGCACACTCTGTGAATGTCATCTTCCAACTACATGTGGGTGGTTGGAAGGGCCACAGGCTCCTCAGTTCTCCTGGGAATTAACTGTGCTTTTACCATTTTCCCTTTCATCATTCTGTTTTGATGCTCTCCTACCATCCCCTCCTTAAAGTTCTCTGAACTTCCCCTCCCTTGTCTTGAAGTGATGTGAATTGGATTCATTTTCTGAGCTTATGGATAGATTTCTCTGAGCTCACACTTCTGAAAGCAAATTTGATCTTCCTTCATTTCCTGTGTTTTCAAAAAAATGGATGATCCTTAGCTCCACTGCCATTTTTCTTTTTGGTGGTACTACAGTTTGAACTCAGGGCCTTGTGGTTGCTAGGTGGGTTGATTTGAGTCATATCCCTAGTCTTCTATTACCATTAAAAAATGAAATAAAGGTTCATGCATACTGTGGCAGTAGATATACAAGAAAAAGAAGAAGAAGAAGAAATTCCCTAAGTAAATGTCAGGCGCATGATTTGAAACATTCGACAAATATCCTGGCAGTGAAGACTTCAGAAGCGGAAGCAATAAGGAAATTGTAATTTATTCTCTGCTCTTTTTAGCGGAGACCTGGAACAGCTCAATGTGTGGCACATCTCACACTGGTGGATGGGGCCATTTGTGTAGGATAGACAGCACAGTGGATCAGAGGAGATGTGAACATGGAGCCCCACCCTTGTTCCCAGCCCATAGTGGGTAAGATGAGACCACAGGGCTGCTCTGCTTGCCAGTAGAGGAAAGAGCACCCAATATGGCGTTAATGATTAATTTGGGGTGATGGCTCACAGAACTTGGGGAAAAAAGTTTACTGGTTTAAGGAGGTTATCTATCCAGTTTGATGAATGGATAGGGTAAGAGGGGGGATTAAGAGCTTTGGTACTCTTTCCTGGTGATAGCCTGCCAGCACCTCAAGGTCTTCAGCAATCCAGAAGCTCATTAATACTTCCAGTTCAAGAGCTTTTCCACTTTGACCCACTCTCCCTGGAGGTGGGTGGGGTCTAAACCTCTAATCCTACAACCCCTGACCACTCTGGAGTCTACTTAGATAAGTAAGCTCAGTAGGCTTCACATTAGAGTACGTTCATTTTTTTATATTAATAAGTTTTTTTAAATTGTGAAAATACCATACAGAAGGGTTACAAGTTACATGAACAAGGTAATGAGTACATTTCTCATCAAGCATTGTTGCCTCCTCCTTTGTTTCTGACATTTCTACCCAGACCAAAGAGGGAGGACTTCCTTTTGTGTCCCAGTAGGAGGCTTGTGATTGGTGCAAACAGTCCATCATCTGCCCAAAGGGCTTCTCTGACTGGTGGCAGGGACTGTGCTGTGATTGGTGGAATGATTCCTTCATTTGCATGGGAGGGCTGCCAAAACTGCTTACGGGCACCCTTCTTACACCATTCTCTGGCTATCCAAGCACACTGTGTGGCTGGCTCACTGCCAGGCAGCCAACAGACAACCTCCAGTGCTTTCCTTGTTGTTTTACCATTAGGTCCAATACAGCTTTGTCTTGAGTGATCTTTCATGCTTGGTTTTGATCTTCATCATCAAGTAGCTGAGCTAGTAACATGAAGAAAGAAAGAAAAGAAGAAATAGCAGCAGAGGAGAGATCAGTAAAGCTATAATACACAACATCTCATAACCAGTATAATGGCTATGTTCACCAAAGGGTGAACATACCAAAAGCTGGTCAAGTTTTTGAAACACTGAATGTTCACACGCTGCTTGTTAGATGGCAGAAGGGGTAGCAACGCTTTGAACAATCACTTGACAATCTATCTCAAGAAAGTTCTTATTTTTATGATAGTGAAAAATTGAGAAGCAAACTCAAGGGTCCTTTAAATAGGAAGACAAATACATGAAATATAGGACAATGTGTTGTATTTATAAAACACAATACACCAGTCAAAACACTTGGATGACTATCAGAGGCATGGCATTTCCAAAGAATGCAGACATGAAAGTATATAGAAAGTCCTAAAGCAAGCAACACTAATCTGTAGTGATAGAAAGTGGATCAGTGGTTACAGAGAATTGAGCACAAAGAGAAATTTCGGAGGTGATAAAAATACCCTATAACTTGATTGTGGTGATGGTTACAAAAACTTCGTCCAAACTCATGTACAGCACACTTATACTGCACATTTCATTACATGTGAACCATATCTCAGCAAAAACAATGTGACACACGGAGTAAAATAAATCTCAAATATTATGCTTGGTAAAAGAATTCATACAATACACAAAAAGGACATACAATCTGATTTCATTTAAACCAAGCCCCAAAGCAAACAAAAATATAGTACTTCATGGTGATAGAAATCAAAACTGTGTCACTTCTGAGGTGAGGGTTGAAGAGAGATTACATGAGAGAACTTTCAGGGTTCCTAAGTATCCATTGTCTTGATGAGATATAGTTCCATGAGTGTATACAATTACAAACACTCTAACTTAAAGGCAATACATTATATCATATGTAAATATACATACATTAAAGGATATACATTCCTCCCTCCCATCCAAAGCACTTTACTATGTGCAATCCTCCACAGCCCTGGGCTTGTATTATAGATGCAATGATTTAAGGTTATTCCAAATCTCACATCAGAGCAAGTCTCCTATGTAAACATACAACAGAATAGGATTATGGAACTTGGATCTGTCTCAGGAACTTTAGAATGGAAACTGTACTCATACTTCAAGGCTAGGACAGGTCAACAACCCTTGTACATCTGGACATATAGAACCTTCTTCAGAGTAATTCAGATAGAATCAGTGACTTTTCGTTCCATGCTCGATGCAATCATTTTCTAGAACCAGGGCTAGCCTTATATCCAACTTCTTCTCACTCTGCTGCCCTACACTGCAAATCCCAGTCACAATACCCCTTTCTCTTGTAGAAGTCTCTCCTCCTACAGAACCAACCTCCCACCCATCTAGATGGATTACCACCCTGTGGCCTACATGCTTCCACCTCACCCTCTTTGAAAATCTTGCTAGACAAAGCAAGTATCTAGGGTAAGATCTTTCTGAAACACCAATGATTAGAAAGGTATACAAATAAAAAAGGCAAAACAAAAGAAAACCACCCACAACAACACTACCTTCTGAATATTAGTGTTAAAATAATGGACCTTAGTTTCTCTCAAAGTTGACACTAAGTGACTTAGATTCTTAGAAAACCAGGAAAAGCCCCAAACCCACTGATAATCTTATATATCAAACCTGTCCTTTCCACTCCCCGCATCCCCCGCCAACTCTTAGCTTCAATGAAGCACCACATAACTTCAAAAGGTGTGCAAGTGGCCCAGCTGTTCAATAAACAGGCCAGAACAGTTTTGTGTTTGGTCACAACTACTGAAAATATGGCTGCAGATCTGAGGATCGTGGTTCACAACCAGCCCTGGTAGGAAGTCTGTGAGACTCTTATCTCCAATCAGCTGCCAAAAAGCCAGAAGTAAAGCTGTGGCTCAGGTGGTAGAGTGCTAATCTTGAGCACAAAAACTTAGAGACAGTGCCTAGGTCCTGAGTTCAAGCCCCAGCATTGGAACCAAACCAAACCAAACAAACAAAAAAATCCCAACCTACCTAGCCACAGACATGCAGCTGGACATATATATCAAGTCAAAGGTGGGTTGGGAGGTGGGATAAATCTGTGCTCTAACCAAAATCCATGGGATTGTTCAAGCTACTTTATCACTCTCTAACTGTAAAAACTGTGAAATAACTTTTGTCTGCAGATATGCAAATATGCAGATATATCTGCATATTTGCATATCTGCAGACAAAAACCATTGAAGAGATAATACTCTTTCTCCTCCCCACAGAAAATGAGCTTCAATATCCTCAGTCTATATTTTATTACTCAACATTCAACATTCTTGTTCCAGAAATGTACCCATTCTTTGGATTCTCCTTCCATCTCTTGTATCGGATTGCTCATTAGTAAGTTAAATAAACCTAGAACACATTTATTTTCATATCTCATGAGCATTATGGCTTTCCCCTTTTCTGGATATTGTCTTTAAATCCTGGTTATCATTATCAGGCCACTAGCCTACCCAAAAATCCTCCCATTTATTACTCTGAGTCCAAATGTTTGCTCCTAGTTTTAAATGATCAAGACTGTTCTTCCTGAAAAATTTCCCAGGTTTGGGTTTTCAATGGCTGATCTCCTGTGGTTTAGTGAAAACTTGATCTTGGAGTCTATGGCTCTATGTTCCTCCAAGTTCCATTACTGCTTAGGTCACATCAGGTATACAACTTTCTCTATCACTTAAGATGATCACTGCTACATCTTAAGGCAGTTTCACAAGGGCTCAGTCTAATTCTTGGCACCTAACAGGTGTCCAGTAAACTTTATTTCTCATTGCTTCTCATGCAAGCACATATTACAGATTCAATCAGGACTAATTAATTCTTGGTCTAGGGATGGTACTTTCAGAAAAGTATATGGTAGGTGCAGCAGATCAAGAAATCATCTTTGATCTATACTTGTTAAAAAATGTGATACAGGGCTTTTGTTTGAGATGAAACTCCTTCAGTAGGCTCCCATAGACTAGGTTAAAAATCAAGATGGAGTCACGCCAAAGTTCCCGGTCATCAAGCTAAAACAAAGCTGTTTATAAGAAAGAAAAAGGGGCTGGGAAAGTGGCTCAGTGGTAGAGTGCTTGCCTTGCATGCATGAGGTCTTGGGTTTGATTCCTCAGCACCACAATATAAGCAGAAAGAGCCAGAAGGGGCGCTGAGGCTCAAGTGGTAGAGCACTAGCCTTGAGCTGAAGAGCTGAGGACAGCGCCCAGGCCCAGAGTTCAGGCCCCACAAGTGACAAAAAAGAAAGAAAAAATTCCTCTTTACCTTACTCTAACGAAGTCTAACGGAAATAACCTGATGTTAATTACTCAAGTTATTTCCCCATTCTTCCATTGTTTTCCACCTGGTAAAGATGAATAACTTTAAAATAACGTGTGTGTATGTGTGTGTCTTTTGGGCTCAGCCCATTGGACAGTGACTCTACTTTATGGAATGAAGTGTTGTACCATTCTAGGTCTAAAAAGAAATCCAATTGAGATCATTACACAAAATCGCTGAAAACTCACCCTTGAACCGCACTTTCCAACACACAAGATGTTTGTTGGCAAAAGTGACTGAACAAAATCTTCACTTGTGTCCAGTTTGACTACAAAAGAGTATGGAGCCGGGTGCCGGTGGCTCACGCCTGTCATCCTAGCTAATCAGGAGGCTGAGATCTGAGGATCACGGTTCAAAGCCAGCCCGGGCAGGAAAGTCCATGAGACTCTGATCTCCAATAAACCACTAGAAAACCGGAAGTGGCGCTGTGGTTCAAGTGGTAGAGCACTCGCCTTGAGCTGAAGAGTGCAGGGACAGCTCCCAGGCCTAGAGTAGCATTTTTTTCTGAATTTTGAGTGTTTGGTATATTATTTAATTAATTCATTAATTATTTTTGATCATGGGGCTTGAACTCTAGGCCTGGGTGCATGTGTGTGTGTGTATATATACATATGATGCAAAGGTGCCTTTGGAGACGCGAATGTGTCTCTGGGCCGGAGAAACCTTCCCGACGTGTAGGTTTCGGCAACGCGATCTGCTCCGCTTCCACTCCTGAAGTGTTCGGCGCCCCGCGCGCACCCACAGCAGAGCCGGCTCCGACCTGACCCCGCCGTGGCCACCCTGGGCTCGCGGTGCCCGGCAGGGGTGCCCGGCAGGGGTGCCGGGCGCAGGCTCGGGTGGCTTTCCTCCCCATCCATGCGGGGCCTCGCGTCGCCGGCTCCGCTCTGACCCCGCCGTGGCCGCCCTGGGCTCGCGGTGCCCGGCAGGGGTGCCCGGCAGGGGTGCCGGGCGCAGGCTCGGCAGGGGTGCCCGGCAGGGGTGCCCGGCAGGGGTGCCGGGCGCAGGCTCGGCGGGCTTTCCTCCCCATCCATGCGGGGCCTCGCGTCGCCGGCTCCGCCCTGACCCCGCCGTGGCCGCCCTGGGCTCGCGGTGCCCGGCAGGGGTGCCCGGCAGGGGTGCCGGGCGCAGGCTCGGCAGGGGTGCCCGGCAGGGGTGCTGGGCGCAGGCTCGGCGGGCTTTCCTCCCCATCCATGCGGGGCCTCGCGTCGCCGGCTCCGCCCTGACCCCGCCGCGGACGCCCAGGGCTCGCGGTGCCCGGCAGGGGTGCCCGGCAGGGGTGCCCGGCAGGGGTGCCGGGCGCAGGCTCGGCAGGGGTGCCCGGCAGGGGTGCCCGGCAGGGGTGCCGGGCGCAGGCTCTGCAGGGGTGCCCGGCAGGGGTGCCCGGCAGGGGTGCCCGGCAGGGGTGCCGGGCGCAGGCTCGGCGGGCTTTCCTCCCCATCCATGCGGGGCCTCGCGTCGCCGGCTCCGACCTGACCCCGCCCGGCCCCCCAGGGCACCCGCGTCGGGACTGAAGTTGGGATCCGATCCCAACGCTGCTTTCCAGTGCGACCGCGGCGAACACCTGGGCGCGCGGCTCCCCGGGCTCTGCGTTCCGGATGGACGGCTGCGGAGCGCGGCGCGGGCGGAGCGCGGCGCGGGGCCCAGCTCCCGGCGAGGGGGGGGGGTGTCGCGGACGGACCTGCCCCGGACCTACCCCGGCCCGCAGTGCGCCCCGGCCGGACCCGCGGACCCGCCCCCCGGGACCCCCGGGACGGCGCCCTCCCCCCGGAAGAACTCACCCCCGGGAGAGGTCATCGGCGGGCCGGACGGCCGGGCTGGGTGGGCCCGGGTCGCCTCTCCTCCGGGTCTCCAGGTGCCCCGGCGCCCCGGCCGATACTGGATCTCAGGTGGGAGTGGGCGGGGCCGCTCCCGCCCCGACCGAGGCCACGCCCCCTGCTTTGCATACGCAGTCCCGCCTCCGGGTCTGTGATCTCCAGGTGGAAATCCAGGTCTGTCGGCCTGGCTGGTTTGACCAGGATCAAACCAGTCAAGTCAGTCCCTGAAAGACACACGTTGACACCCACAAGCAAGGCAATGAAGCAGCGTGAAATGCATCCGGTGTCGAACATTTGCCCTGCTTACACGACCGACTTTTCCTATGAATTCCCATAGATCCTTGTATTGCGTTTGAAGAAACTGAAGAAAAAGATCCTAGACTTAAAAAAGTAAGACAAGCCTGAATTTTAGTTGGGCATGCTGGACACAGAGACAAGGCTTATAATCGTGTGTGTGTGTGAATGTGGGGGTGTTTGAGGAGATAGGGTGGGGTACTTTCCTGTGCTTTTAAGAATTGTGTGATACGGAGTTAGCACATTTAACCATACACAGATAACACTGCGTGTGTGTGTGTGTGTGTGTGTGTGTGTGTGTGTGTGTGTGCGCGCGCGCGCTGAAGATCAGGCCTGGGGTTTCCTCAGTGACACTGCCACTGAACCACACCATCCAGCTCCTGGAGAATTTCGTTTGCTTGAAGCAGCGATCTGAGCCCCTGTAGGGAGGAATCCACACACACACAGATGAGATCTGGGTTTGGTGCTGGGTGCTTCTGTGTTTGGAGGAGAGCACATGGGGTCACAGAGGAGGAGTGTCTGGCCACATGCTGGGAATTGTTAACTTGGGTGATGGCTTTTGGAAATTGACTGTACTATTACACACTCTCTGTGTATCGTTGGCACAACACATGTGCTCACCTATTCATTAGGAAGGTATTTACTGAGTGCCTGCTAGGTGTCAGACACTGTTCTCTAGGTGCTGGGGACCTTATCAATGGACAGAGTTAAATATTCCTGCCTGAAGTACAGATGTGGCTCAAGTGGTAGAGCACCAGCCAAACACAAAACCCAGCAACTAACAATATCTGTCTTGAGGAATCTGTGTTCTGGTTGGAGATGGGGTGGGGTGATAGAAAGACCAACCAGCAAACATGGTAAATTTGTGAATTCTATAGTAGGTTGGAAAGTATCCACTACCGTGGAAAAGGAAAATAGAGAAGAGAGGAGGTTGTGTGAGAATGTAGATCTGATGAATAAGAGAAGAGGTTTGAGATTTGGGGCTCCAGCAATGAGAACAAACCTACAGGGGAGGCTGAATAGGAAGGGTAGGAAGGGAATGAGCTTCAGGGAGGGAGGCTAATGAAGGAGAGCATGTGGTCGGTCAGTCCTGTCAGATGGTACTTGTAGTCCAGATGGAATCCAGTGGAAAGTGTGGCCAGATTACCTAGCTAATACACTGAGGGCCTCCAGCCTCCATACTCAACCATGTGGCTGCGAGAAGGTGCACAAGAATCTATTTGCATCGTTGAAGGAAGAGTAGAGAAAGGATGAGTGAGCTAAAGAAGTTGTCATTATAATTGAATCTAATTTAGGGTCCCCTCTTCAGGGTTAACTCTTTGAGGTCCAAGGCTTAATTACCTTCAGATTTCCAGGGCTTGGCTGAGTACCTGCCTCCTACAGCACTCAGGTGTTTGCTGAGTGATTAAAAATAAATGGGGGGGGGGTGATGGGCTGAAGCTTTGACTTGCCTAGTGCCTCAGCTACAGTTCAGTTACAGACACATGGAGGAGGGGGCTTTGGTTTCCTCCTCAGACACTGATGGCCAAAGGCTGGCAAGGGTCCTTCCCATAATATGCCTTTTCTTGTGCTTTCTGGGACAGTACAGGAAAAGGTCCCACCAGCAGAGTCAGCTCTCCAGTCTTTGAATATCACCCATGGTCTTTTGTTCCTTTGGCCTCACCCTTGCAAGGGACACATCTAACAAAACAGAGAGACACACTGAATAGGGTGGAACTTTAAAAACTTTATTAATGAAGTTATCCTTTTATAGAATGAGGCATGGAAAGAAGAAAGAGGTTAGTGAGTGCACAGTACAAAAGAACACAAAATTGATCAAAGTAAGTTTTGTCAAGAAAATGAATGATTAACAATATTTTCATAGGGTCATGACATAAATATTTTTTATACAAGTGGCTATGCTTTTACCTCTAATGTTGATTACATATGCTACTTAAAGTCTTTTTTTTTTTTTCACCAAATGGAGGCAAGAATATGAAGTTCATGGGGGCTGGGAAGGTGGCCCAGTGGTAGAGTGCTTGCCTTGCATGCATGAGGCCCTGGGTTCGATTCCTCAGCACCACATAAGCAAAAAAAAGAATATGAAGTTCATAAATAGAGATATATAGCCATATCTATATATATATGCATCCAGGATAGGAAGTCTTAGAAGATATAGGAAAATGGATAAAAGGAAAGCATGAGGATACCCAGTGAATGAAAAGAAACAACCTGAAATTTCAGAATAGAAGGGACAGAAAGAGTGGATCTGGTGACTCTCCATAGATAGGTAAAAAGTTGGCAGGATAACTGGCAAAAAGTGTCACCAAATTCTGCAACCAAAGCCTCCAGCATTTCTCAGCCTAGACAATCAGCCGAGCAAGCACCTAGCAGCAGCATTGCTTCTGGCAGCAGCATTTCTGCTGACAACAGCAGCACTTCCCACAGCCACAGCACTTCCCACAGCCACAGCCGCAGGATCCACAGCCACAGGAGCCACAGCCACAGCCACAGGAGTTGCAGCAGGTGCGGCGGCAGCAGCAGTACCTGGGGGAGCAGCAGGTACAGCAGCCACGGCAGCAGCCGGCACAGCCACTGCAGCACCCACCACAGCCACAGCCACAGCCACCACAGCCACAGCCACCACAGCCACAGCCACAACCCATGGTGTCAGGAGAGAGGTATGAGTGAGGCGAGGAGAGAAGGTTCAGGAGAGAAGGGAAAGTCTGATGGCAGTTGCTTCAGCGGCCCTTATATGCGCTGTTGATGTCCCATGTGACACTGAGCCACTGTCTTGTTTTCGCCAGCTTCCTGAGTGTGCTTCCTCGTGGACTCGCCTCATGAAAGTTCTAATTTTAACTTTTACTTCCCACCTTATGCTTCTACCAAACAGGTTTCAAAATATTGTTTTCTAGTAACGAGTGGACATGGATGATGACCTCGTACATCTCATTTGGGGAAAGCACTCCTCCTATTTTTCATGCATCTGGAGCCTGAGTCCCTGGAGATATCCTCTGCTCCATTTCGCAGGATTCGTTACTGAGCTCAGGTGTTCTGTGCTGAGTGCAAAGGAAGCCGGCAGCCCACAGATTGGCCCCTGAGCCTCCTCTCACATGGCATGAGGTTTTGATAGGAGAATATCAGAAAATGCTCTCATGTATTTTTTTGGTTGCTCATGGGCTTTGAACTCAGGGCCTGGGTGCTGTCCCTGTGCTCTTTTGCACAAGGCTAGCACTCTACCACTTTGAGTCACAGTGCCATTTCTGGTTTTTTGAGTGGTTATTTTGAGATAAGATTCTCCCAGGGACTTTACTGCGCTAGCTCACTTTGAATGAATCACGATCGTCAGACCTTAGCCTCTGCAGAGCTAGGATCGGTATCTGGCTTTTATGTTTCTTCTTAATTCACCTGGAAAGAGTCACCTTGAGTGGAGACCTAGTCATGACGTATTTCAAAACTATCTGTCCAGGCTAGTTCATTATTCCTCTTTCTCTTCATGTCTTCCTGGGATAGAAAGCAACAGAGCCCAAAGTCCCTGCCACCAGCTGGCTTTAGTTCCCAAAGAAAACCACAGCACTTTGTAACTCAGTTTCATTTGTTTAGGTTAAAGAATGAAGAGCTTTGTATATACACACACACATATATATATACACACACACACATATGAACATACATGAAAATATGAAATATATAGTGTATCATAAATGTAATATATATTTATATAATATATTGTATAATATATTTGTTATATATTTATATAAGATAATATATTATAATGTGTATTTATACTGTATTAATACATAGCATATATTATAATACATTTATATTGTATTGATAATTGTATTACATTAATATTAATATTGTATTATAATGTATTCATATAACATAATGTATTTTATATGATATGTAATATATCATATATAACTGTATATTATAATATATTGTAATATTACGTATAAATGTATAAATTATAGAAATATGTACTATATATCTTAAAGAGCTGCTTTAATTTTTCAGAAGAATTGAGTGGAGAGTGCAGGGAGTTCCTGCCGTCCCTGCCCCCACTCCCCACTCTCTGCTCCCTGCCAGAGCATCCTGTTCAGTATGGTGGGAGGAGCCAACTTCGCAGGCTCCACCTGCACTCCACTGCTTCCAACTGGGTTTCCTTTGGTGGTTGGGTCTGTGAGTTGGGCCAATGTAGAATGATAGGTGTTCAGTGTTGCAGTATTGGCCAGAACACCTGCATTCACTGAACATGATGTGTGCTTCACACATCCCCACCCCCGCCAACTCCTGCAGACCCCTGGTCCTGTTGCCGTCATCACCGTTTTGTCTTTAGCAGGGTATCATATAATTGGCAGTTCAAGTCTAATTCTTCTTCTCTGCCTTCTCCTCTCTTCCTCCTCCTTTCCTCCCCCTTCTCTTCCTCTTCATTTCTCCCCTCCTTCTATTATTATTGTTGTTGTTTGGCAGTACTAGGATTGAATCCAGGGCCTCCCCCATGCTAGGCAAACACTACCACTGAGCTACATCGACACCACCCAAGTCTAATTAAAAACAAAAGATATTGAGGCAGTGATTACCAGGGACGATGACATTTGTGCTTGAGAATTGTTCGTCGCCCAGCCTTTGGAAAGAAAATGTAGGCCACTGCAAAGAAATAATCTCCTGGAGATGTGTATCTGTTCTGCAGACGGGCAAGCACCAGTGCACACACTTGTGCGCACACTCTGTGTGGGATTTTTCGGTCTGCTGAGTGTGCCCAGGGCGCACAGGAGCTC